ATTATTTGCCGAACGGATGTTTATTACAGGAATTATTTAAGTTTTTCGGCATAGAATTTTTATTCCGATTATTTTTTCGCGCACTGTATCTGTCGCATATATCACATGATACCGCGTTTCGATTTTAATTATGGTATCAGAGGACTTTTTTCTTTAGGTTAGTGTTGGCATGTTTGTCACTCCATTATTTGTCACCCAATCAGCGTAACCTGTCACAGATTACAGATGTGCATCAAAATTTGAGCACAATTACAGTAATTGAAGGCAAAGGATATAGTGGAATATGATGATATTACAGCATTCTACATCGAGATAAATTTTATTATAATTTAAATTTTTTTTGACTTTAAGAATTAACTTTTCACCACCACAATCAATACCCGAGTCAAAATTCGAGTCAGAATTCTAGTATAGGATTCGAGCATCTGACTCGAAATACTGAGTATTCGAGAGTTTGATTTTTTTCGTGGGACGAATATCGCCTAATTTGGAAATTTATAAGAAAATTTCTTAGTAAGCACGGAGTGTATGAACACGGGTCATATGATATATATAAACTTATTATGCGGAGTTGCGTTTAGTTTAGGATTAGTTTAGTGTTAGTATGCATATTAGGTTGTTATTTATCACACAGCATCACTCCCTACTGTTTCGTTTTTACTAATTAATCTCGGAACTTAGAAAATTTTTATACTAAAAATATTATTCGTCACCCGCTTATGTTTCACATTGTGTTCAGACACCTCGTGTACGATTAGAAATTGCCAATTTTTAATTGAAGTATTGAAATTAAACTTTAAAATTTAAATTGTAAATAAGGTGTATATAATAATTTTAGTACGAATTTTAGAAAATTTATAGCAAATTTTCAGTGAATTAAAATTAAAAAAAAAAAAAATTATTTTTGTAATATATACGATTTTACTAACACATGAATTGTTTGACTTTTCAGGTATTTCAGTAAATTTTACTAATATTCGACAAGAAAAACATCAATTATGTAAATTCATTATCTATCTTCTGATGGAAAAATACTATCAAAAGACACATGTTTCTTTTTTAAAAATTTCATTTCATCAGGCTATAATTTAAGAAATAAATTGTATTGTTCCTTAATGAAGTGTTGTATGCACTCTAAGTTTATGTTGTTAGCTTGAGTAAAGAATTCGAGTAGTTAACTCGAGTAAGAATTGAGCTTAATATAATTTGAGTTTACTCGAATACTTACTCGAAACTTGATTCGAGTCTATAAAATTTTGACTCGAGTCAAACGAATAAGAATCCAGACTCTAACCTGAACTATTCGCAGTGGCTTCAAGTTCGAATAAGTTCCACCAAGTATATCAGAGATTAACTTAATACGAATAATAATATATTGAAAAATATTTATAAAACCTACCAAATGCTCTCCAAATCTTACGGGTCTCACTTTAACAATACACGATTGAATGTCCGTATTGTATATAAAGGATCATACTCCGGTGTTTCCACCAAAAATTTGACACGTCGACGAACTCCACTGCCGGTCGAATTTATCAAATGACCCAATTTACTGTCGTGTTCCTTATTTTTAAAGAGCATTGGACGAGTAGCATCATTGGAGGCAGATGTAAGATCTCAATGATCTCACGTACTAGAAGGGTCTTTAACGGTAATCGATATATGAAGTATCTCGCTTAAGAAATTCATCATTAATTTGATTAAGAAGCAATTTTTTCTTATATAACAACGTAATGGATACTTAAAAAAGTTCTTTTGGTTTGATGACTTTTAACTTGAACTCTCTAAAATTTTAATACCTACCAGCTTCA